TTTAGCGCATGTGATGGTGGATGCTCACCAGGGTGGTTGAGTTGCCCTAGATCCAGGGCTGCCCTCTTTGTGTGCCACCTGGGGGTCTGCAGAGCACCCACATCCTCTGCCTACTTCAGCATACAGCCACCTTCCCCTCTGCCTTGGGCTTGGCCCCATTTCATGTCATCTGGGGGTTCCTTCCATCATCCTTGCACCTCCTTCCTGCTGGAACCTGCCAGTTGAGGTGCTGGTGGGATGCTGCTGGAGGCTGTACCAGCAAGGATAACCTACAGGGCTTCATGACCCCTCACACCTTCCATCACAGCTTGGTCCTCACTGAGGAAACTCCACTTCTCCCCTAGTCTCAGGGGGTGCCACACTGCTCCCAGTTTGGGGGAAGGGTGTTTGTGGCCTCACTGGGTCTGTTTGCAGGAGGGAGGTGGAATATTCTGAGTATCGATGTGTGATCACTGGGTGCCGAGGCAGAGATGCCCGTGTGCTCGCTCTGCACCCGGACACCCTGCGATGGACACGAGGATCCCGAGGGGATCGCCCCCACCCCTGCTCGTGGAGGAGGAAGACAGCTCTGATGGGCAGATGACACCAAGCATGGCTGAGGCAGCACTGCCATCTCGTGGCATGTCCCCTCGCTGCCGGTGACACGGCGGCCTCACCGTGTAAGGCCTTCTGCCACCACCCACTCCCAGAGACACCTTGGTGGGAAGGGGAAGGAGGGGTGTTCCAGGTTGCAGGTGCAGGTGCTTTTGTGCTGGCAGATGTGGTCTGCAGAAGCCTCTGGGATGGCACTGTGCAATGCTCATCCACGGCCAGCCACCCTCTGGAGCTGTGATGTCCCAGTTGCAGATCAGGAGGAGGAGGAGGAGATGCCCAGAGGATGGGAGAGGAATCATAAAATCATTCAGGTTGGAAAAGACCTGTAAGATCATCGAGTTCAACTGTCAACCCAACACCACCATGCCAACTAAACCAAGTCCCTAAGCACCACATCTACTTGTCTCTTCAATCCCTCCAGGGACAGTCACTCCACCCTCCCCAGCCTGTTCCAATGCCTGAGAACCCTTTCAGCAAAGAAATTCTTCCTCGTATCCTATCGAAACCTCCCCTGGTGCAACTTGTGGCCATTTCCTCTTGTCCTGTCCCTTGGTCCTTGGTTGAACAGACCCACCCCCACCTCTCTCCACCCTCCTCCAAGGGACTTGGACAGAGCCAGAAGGTCTCCCCTCAGCCTCCTTTTCTCCAGGCTCAACACCCCCAGTTCCCTCAGCTGGGAACTCATCACACTTGTGCTCCAGACCCTTCCCCAGCTCCGTTCCCTTCTCTGGACACGCTCCAGCACCTCCATGTCCTTCTTGGAGTGAGGAAAGGAAGGCTTGGCTTGAATGCAGCAACACTGAAAGTCAGGTGAGTGGGGCTAAGGACTGCTCAGGAGTCTCAAGGACCTGAAGGAGGTACCACCTGGACCAACACCAGCTTCCAGGAGATGCTGGAAACCTGTAACCAGCCTCCTGTAATTCAGCATTTAAATGGGGTTAAGGGGACAGTGAGGGAAAAAGGATGCAGGAGCACTAGGACACAGCCATCGATCAATCCTGGATGAAATGATGGAGTAGTCTCATTTTGGCTGTATATTAAGAAAGGGCAATAGGGCAGAAATACAATTACTGTCCAGAAACACCATTTTGTGGAAGGTAGGTCTTTTCAAACTCATCTGTCATGTTTTCTTGACACAATTACAGGTCTGGTTGATAGAGGAACTCTGCTGATAAAATAAAATAGCATTTCTTCTGGACATCTGATTTATTGCAGGGTGACATTTTGATTAAAAATGTGTATTATATTGCATTAAGAGGGCATATATTCAATGAATTAAAGACCAGCTCAGTGATAGATCTCCAAAGGTAATTACTAATGGCGATGCACTGATGAGCAAAGTTTTGTCTGCCAAGGGTTTCTGGGCTGATTTTTGGTTTTTACACAAGTCATTCAGCTGTTTTGGAAATGATGCAACTCCTTCCTTGGGACTGCTAGAGGCAGTGGGCAGGGGGAATGGAGGGTTTCCCAGCCCCCTTTGGCTTTGGGACCACCCTGATCTTGAGCCTGCACACTGCCCTCTTTCATGGAATGGTTTGGGTTGGAAGGGACTGGAAAGATCATCCAGTTCCAACCCACCCTGCCATCAGCAGGGACACCTTCCACTAGACCATAGAATCATCGAATGCAGTGAGTTGGAAGGACCCACAGGGATCATCTAGTCCAACTCCTGTCCCTGCCCAGGACAATCCCAACATTCACACCATGTCCCTCAGGGCCTTGGCCAAATGCTGCTGCAATCTTGTCAGCCTTGGTACCATGAGAACCTCCCTGGGGAGCCTGTTCCAGTGCTCCACCACCCTCTGCCTCAAGAACCTTTTCCTCATGGCCAACCTCACCCTCCCCTGCCACATCTTCCTGCCATTTCCTCTGCTCCTGGCATTCGTTGGTGGCCAGAGAGAAGAGATCAGCGCCTGCCCCTCCTCTGCCCCTTGGGAGGAAGTTCTAGCCCCCCAGGAGATCTCCTCTCAGTCTCCTCTTCTCCAGGCTGAACAAACCCAGTGCCTTCAGCCTCTCCTCACACCCTTCCCCTCTAACCCCTTCCCCAATGTTGTGTCCCTCCTCTGGACACTCTCCAGGAGCTTTAGAACCTTTTTCTCCTGTGGTGCCCAAACTACCCCCAGTACTGGAGGTGAGGCCGTCCCAGTGAGGGGTAGACTGGGACAATCACCTCCCTCGGCAGGCTCCAACCTGGCCTTGAACAGGGGACATCCAAAAGGGGGGACATCCACAACTTCTCTAGGTAATCTGTTCTCACCACCCTCACAGGAAAGAATTTCTTCCTCAGATCCCATCTCAATCTCCTCTCTTCCAGTTTAAAGCCATCGCCTCTTGTCCTGTCACTCCCTGCCCTAGTTCTGGATGCAGCCCAGGACACAGTTATTGGCCTCTGGGCTGCCAGCGCAAGTTGCTGGGTCATGTTGAGCTTCTCATCCACCACCACCCCCAATTTCTATTCCTCATGGTTGCTTTTCCCTGAACATCCTCTCCTGAGCTCCAGCTGCTGCTGCCTTTGCTTTGGGAACCCCAGTGCCTCTTTCTCATGAAGGTCAGTGCAATTGCTACGGGACTCCTGAAAGGAGACTCCAGGTGGATATGGATCAGAAAGCCCTTCCTAGGGCCCTCCACTGCATCTCCCATGAGGTGGCATGGCTGGTCCCCAGGATCCCAAGATTGTTCACCTGCTTGGGTCATTGCAGTACATCTCATCCCTCTGCTCCCTGCCACAGTGGGGCTTGGGTAGTGGTGGCATTTTTGGTTTCTTTTTTGGCAGAGTGAAATGCACATTCCTGGGCACTTTCCCTGGGCTTAGTGGTGTGAGGCATTGGCTTTTTCATTTTGCACATCTGGGTGAAACCACACACAGCTCCTGGGGTTGCCCAGATCTGGCTGGTGCAAGTCACAGCCACTCAAAGGGGACTGGGAGCAGCCTAGGTGCCAGAGACCCCCATCTTCTCTCACTCTGCTACAGAGACAAGATCCTCAAACCACTCAAGTGAGGGAAATGGGAAGGAGATGTCTCATCAAGGATGCTCGAGGCCCTGCTGAGCCACACAGGCACTGACGATCCCTTTGCTGGAGCTCTGCTTTCTCAGGGTGCAGTGCCAAGCTGGGCATCTGGAGGGGTCAACCCCCAGCAGCAGCGATGACAAGGCTGGGTACCTGTGACAGCCACACTCTGTGCAGCACAGGAACCAGGAGCCATCAAGAATGATCCCTGGGCCCCACGGAGCATCCCTGGGATGGTCATGCCAACCTAGTGCTCACATCACCTCTCCCCTCCTGTACTGACAGAGCTGTGACATGCCTTTGGGCACCCTTCAACTTTGTGTTGCTTTGTGTCCAGTCACCACACAACCCTGCTGTGGGGACTGTGCTGGGCTGGAAACCCTGAGGTCCCGCACTTTTGCTGACCAAGCTGTTCCTTAACTGTGACCAGGGCTGAGTGTGGAAAAGGGAACAAATTTCATTCTCGTGCAGTGAAAGTGAAACTTGGCACTTCTCTTCCCCAACCAGGCATGCAACCATGTGTGTGAGTATACCTCCCCCCCATCCTGCTCCTCTTCCTCCCTGCTCCTAGGGAAGAGCTTCCAGCAAACAAAGCTGCTGCTCAGACTGGTCTGTCTTCTCCCCATAGCAAGGAGGTAAGTCACCCCAAATACCTGGGAGTACATGCCTGTTCTGCCACCCCTCTCCAGTCCTTGCTCCCCATCCCCCTCTCTTCACTTCCCTCCTCCACAAGGGTTTAAAGTAGGAAAAGGAGAAGATGATGCTGGGGTGGGGAGGGAGGGCTGAAGAAATCTGTACTTGCTCTGTCTGGCTGTGGACATAACTGGGCTCTGCAGGCTTGTCCTGGACTGAGTACTTCAAGTTTTGGGGTAGATCTGTGCCCTCCTCTCTCCCAGCTCTGTGTTGGAGATGTGGATGCCTTTTGCCTGTTTATCCCTTTCTTGTTTATCCCACCTCTCTCATGTGTCCTTGCATCCCTTCCTCACTTGTGCTCTCTCTCCCACTGGACCACTGCCCTCTGCATCAGAGCTTGCTCCTCCAACACTGGAAGAAGCATCCTCTGCATGCATCTGATGTGTGACCACCACTCCCCAGGACACACACCAAAGGGTTGATGCTTTGCTCCATATCTTAGACTTTCTAATTCCACAGCCCCTCCAGGGACATGTCAGAGATTTTCATTCACATCAGTGATTTCAGATCATGCAGTGAAACTACCTCAAAATCTTTCTCTGAAGTTATTTTTGCCATTGCATGTGGTGTCCAGCTATTTGTATTGGACAACACATGGGTGATGTGGTAGATCTGTGCATGCACCTGATGAGAGCACTTGCACTCTGTGTCTGTGTGTGTGTTTGCATGCCCAATTCTCCCCATCCCTGTGCTTGTAGGGAGGTAGGATGCAACTTGGGCTTTGGCTGGTGACCAGCAGCCTGGCAGCCATGCTGGGCATGGTTCTGCTGGAGGACGGAGTGTGTCGGGCACCGGACGGCAGGGACGGCTTCCCAGGAGTCCCTGGCCTCGATGGGAGGCCAGGGCAGAAGGGTGACATGGGAGAGCCAGGTAAGGGGGAGCTGGGGATGAGCAGTGTGGGTGGCCTGGGAGCCTCAAGCCTCTTGGTAGGAGCATCACAGGCTGTGGGAGCAGCTCAGGAAAAGCCAGATGTACATGAACAGCTCTTCATCACCACCTCCCCCCAGGGAAATCAAGACAGAAGACGGGAATCCGGGGAGAAAAAGGGGATGCAGGTGAGCCGGGGTCTCCTGGTGTCCCAGGGTACCAGGGATACCAGGGCCCACATGGCCCCCCCGGGCTCCCAGGACAACCAGGGCCAAAGGGGAACAAGGGGAAAGCTGGAAATATCCTGGAGCAGCCACGTCCTGCCTTCTCTGCCTCACGGAGATCTCCACCGTCCATGGGCACAACCGTGGTGTTCGACAACATCATCACCAACCAGGAGAGCTCCTACAGCTCCCAGACCGGGGAATTCACCTGCCGTGTCCCCGGGCTCTACTACTTTGCCTACCAGGTGATTTCCAGTGGAGATCTCTGCCTGAGCATCACCAAGAACAGGGAGCAAGTGGTCAGTTTCTGCGATTCCAACAGCCGCAACCTCCTGCAGGTGAACTCGGGCAGCAGCGTGCTCAGCCTGGCCGTAGGTGACCGGGTCTCTGTGAGCACCAACCCTGCCAGGGGCAGCATGATCTACAGTGGCTCTGAGGCAGACAGTGTCTTCAGTGGCTTCATGCTCTTCCCCCAGAAGGGCTGATGGACCATCACTCCATACCTGCTTAGCACCAGAGCACCACAGTGTATGCGTCTGCATGTCTTTTCCCGCTGTGTGGTATTAAAACATTTCATGTTTTAATACCACAGCAAATAGGGATGGCCCCCAAGCTGAGCCACCAGATACGTCCTGTGCTTCTACCAGCGGCCAGACTGTGGGTCATCACTGCAGCAGTGAGACCCTTGCTAGCAGTTACCTCTGTGCTGAGCCTGACCACTCCATCCTGGAAAGAGTACTCCTGGCCCCACAGCAGCCCTTTCTGCTCCTGGATGCTCAGACCCCACACTGGAGGGGACCAGTTGTCACTGGGCCCGTTCAACAGCTGTGGGTCTTTATTCCTGAGTGGAAAAATCACTGTGTGCCACTGCTTCTGCTACACTAACTGTTGCAAACACCTTCCTGATGCCAGGCCACTACTGCCTGTCACATCCTCCCTGTCAGTATAAATAAACTCATCTTCCAAGACAGACACTTGGGTTTTCTTTCCTATTCATGTATGTTTCCCGAACCATCAATGTCCTTGGTCCCTTCCGAAGCTGCCCAGGGAGAGAAGCGAGCTCAGTTTGTCCCTGGCCAAGCACGCATCCCAACTTCAAAGGTAGAAGGACAGGAGGGAACTGAGTGTACAAGCAGAGCTGACACGTACAGGAATGGGGAATCTCTGGGATGAGCCTGTGTGTGTCCTTTTCTTGATGAGTCCAAGTTAGCTGTCCTGTACAAGGGTAAATACAGGTAGCAGGTCATACACCTCACCCAAATGGTCCTCTCTTGGTACCCAAACTATGCCAGGAAGGGAAAAGGCAGCTGTGGTCCTCCAGCCTTTCAGCAAGGAAGGACAGAGACATCAGGGTGACTGTTGAGGTTGTGGGGTGATGGTGGTGGGGTTGTGGGGCGGTGCTTTTCTCTCTTTGGCTTAGGATAAGACTAGTGGGAAGTAGGGCACGATGGGCAGGTATCAGGCAGCCAGAAAGCATTAGGGAAGCCACACACATGCCAGACTCTGGGACTGCTTCTTGTGATTTAACCCCAGCCAGCAACTAAGCACCACACAGCCACTCGCTCACTCCCCACCAGTGGGATGGGGGAGAGAACTGGAAGGCTAAAAGTGAGAAAACTTGTGGGTGGAGATAAAGACAATTTAATAGGTAAAGAAAAAGCCATGTACGCAAGCAAAGCAAAACAAGGAGTTAATTCACTACTTTCTATTGGCAGACAGATGTTCACTCACCTCTAGGAAAGCTGGGCTCCATCATGCCTAACTTGGGAAGACAAACACCATCACTTCAAGTGTCCCCCCCTTCCTTCTTCTTCCCCCAGCTTTATATGCTGAGCACGATGTCGTACGGTATGGGATATCCCTTTGGGGTCAGCTGTCCCAGCTGTGTCCCCTTGCAACTTCTTATGCACCACCAGCCCACAGGATGGTAGGGTGGTGTGAGAAGTAGAAAATGCCTTGAGTCTGTGTAAGCCCTGCTCAGCAACAACAAAAACATCAGTGTGTTATCAACATTCTTCTCATCCTAAATCCAGACCACAGAAATACACCAGCTACTAGGAGGAAAAATAACTCCATAACAGCTGAAACCAGCAGCTCAGAGGAGCTGCTCCACACACGTTGGGCAGTCAAATTCCTGTAGCAGTGAGGAGGAGGCCAAATCACCTATAAGGAACAACACCCTGACCAGTGCATTCAGCACCCAGCAGAGCCTGTGGAGCACAGGGCAGGGTGCAGAGAGGACAGCCATCCTGCAGGTCAGAAACCCTCAAGGAGAAACACCCTTCAGTCTCATTGCCTAGGGGTGCAGCATCTCCCTTCAGAGCCAGGCGATGACCTTGTATCAGACCATCATTGCACAGGCAGCTCAGCCTCCACGAAGCTGATGTGAGGGTCTGCTCACCACCCGCTTGCTGTCCTTCTGCTCAGAAATGACAGAATCATGGAATCCATTGGTTGGAAAAGACCTTTGAGATCACTGAGTCCAACTGTACCTGTCCACTACTAAACCATATCTCTGAGCATCCCATCTACACATCTTTTAAATCCCTCCAGGGACTCAACCACTTCCTTGGGCAGCCTGTTCCAATGCCTGAGAACCCTCTCAGTGAAGAAATTTTTCCTGACATCCAATCTGTACCTCCCTTGGCACATCTGGAAGCCATTTCCTCTTGTCCTGTCACTTGTTCCTTGGTTGAACAGACCCACCCCCACCTCTCTTCACCCTCCTTTCAGGGACTTGGACAGAGCCAGAAGGTCTCCCCTCAGTCTCCTTTTCTCCAGTCTCAACAACTCCAGTTCCCTCAGATATAAGAAGAAATTAATAAGTGAGGGGAAAAACCCCCCACATTACCATCTATATTCAGTTTATTCTCTACAAAAGATTTCACCAGGTTTAGAAGAGTCCTAAGATTGGGGACCCCATGCAGGTGATGGGAGCAGGAGCTCTCGGTGGGGCAGCACCCAGAACACCAACATCCTCCACAGCACATCATGACTTATGGATGGGAGAAAGGCAGTCAGTATGCAGAGCAGTACTGTCCATGGTGGGTGGAGAGGAGAGCTTGTGGCACATCTCTTGTCAATGGCTTATCCCACCTCTGTCCTTCCAGGTCCTGCTGCTGCAGTGGCACAAGTGCAGGTCTCACTGAAAAGCCAGGAAAGTGATTGCTCAGGAGAAACAATCAGGCAGGAGGATGTGAAACTCGGGTGAGGGTCAGCTGGGAGTTCTGGATCCCCAAGGGCCCTTTCCTAACTCTGTGACTTCCTCCAGGAGGGTGTTACTGAGAGTCGCTCACGCCGTGCTGTGCTGGCAGGCAGTGCCCACAGCAGTCAGAGGGCTCAGCAGAGCAGGATCCCATGCCCTGCTCCCCCCACCAGAGGTAAGAGATGCTGCAAGATCCATCTCTTCAGGGTGGGCTGCATGGGGACTGGGGGTCCAGCAGCATGGCACCGTGCTGGGCTATGTCAGAGGAAGAGGAGAAAGAGACAGAGGAGCTGCCAGGCTGCACACGTGTCACGGGAGGGGATGTATGCTTGTCTTTGCTGAGGGAAGACCCAGTTACCTGAGCCAGGCACTGTCCTGGAAGATCCTCAGCTGATGGGAGCTTGATCCTGACAGGCAGAGCCAGGAACATCAGGCTGGTGTTGGAGGAGGGGTGAGATCCACTTGGTCCAGAGAGCTCCAGCCTCAGTGCAGCATGGTGCAATGATTGCAGCAGTGTATGCATCTTGCAGGTGGTTTGGGACACTGGACCAGGAGAGCTTTGGGATGGCCACGGGTACCACAAGACTTCATGGCTCCTACCAGACTGAAAGTCCAATCCTCCTTGTGCCATCAGGGGCTGCCCTGTGGGTGACGATGAGCCCAGGGTCCATCTCCACATATCTGCATTTGGTGTGGAGGGGACACTGAGGGCACAACCATCACAGACAGGTGCTCCTGATGAAGTCAGTCTCATAGCATGGTACCTTTTCTGCCCCATGACCTGAAAAACCACCCTGCTGTGGCCCCTCACGCTAACACTGTCCTTCCCTTTCCATGCTACAGAGCACCAAAATGGGTCAGAACTTCTGGGAGCAGCTTCACCTGGTCCTCACCCTCCTACTCCTGAATCTGGGGTCTGCTGTGACCGGAGATGCCCCTCACAGCTGCTATGGGACTCCAGGCCTGCCAGGCATGCCAGGTGTACCAGGCAAGGATGGCCGGGATGGGCTGAAGGGTGCCAAAGGCGAGCCAGGTGAGTGAGCAAGGAGGGGAACCATGCAGGTTGTTGAAGGGGGGCCATTGAGTCCTCCATTGCCAGTCTGCCTTGGTTTGTAGGCCACAGAGAGCATCCTCTGTGGATAGGGAAGGAGAAGAGGAGGCTGGAGAGAGGCAACAACCCTCTCCTGTCTGAGGGAAGGGGCTGGAGTAGCCTTTCCTCATATACTGCCATTGACGATGACTCCCTTTCACTCTCCATCACCCTATAGGCATCCCAGCCACTCCTGCAACACAAGGTCCCAAGGGCATGAAAGGAGAACCAGGCAATCCTGGATTGCCAGGCAAGACTGGCCCCAGTGGTCTCCCTGGTGTCCCTGGAGACCCTGGAATGATGGGCATTGCTGGAGAGCCGGGTATGCCAGGCAGCTACAAGCAGAAGCACCAGTCAGCATTTTCAGTGACAAGGCAGACCAGTGAGCACCCCTTGAAGAATGTCCCCGTGGTGTTCAATCACATTATCACCAACACCAACCATGACTATGATGCTACCACGGGCAAGTTCACCTGTAGGCTCCCTGGCCTCTACTATTTCATCTTCCACACCTCGCAGACAGCCAACCTCTGCGTCAGCCTGTACAAGAATGAGAACAAAATGACCAGCTTCTGTGACCACAACACCAACACCATGCAGGTCAGCTCTGGTGGGATCCTCTTCCACCTGGATGCTGGGGATCAGGTCTGGCTGGAGGTGAACGAATACAATGGCATGGTGGGCATCGGCAACTCCGACAGCATCTTCTCAGGGTTCCTGCTCTTCTCGGACTAGAGGACAGCCAGAGCCCATCCCAGCATGCCAACCTCTTCACCCTGCCCTGCAAATGCTGTTGCTTACCACCAGGCTGCTGCAGACGCTTCAGGCTTCTCGGCTGTGTGGGAAGCCCCAGTAAGGGGTCAGCCCCAGCTGCCAGACACAACCTCCTGGCCTGGGGAACGAGTGCAGGCAGCTGCTGAATGGGGGGAACAGGCATGTCTGGATGCATCTGCACCCAGAGTGATGGTGCTAAGCCCCTGGTGTCCTACTGGCACTGCCATGTGCATCCACCTTGATAATCCCACATTACCTTCTGCTGTCAGAGACAGAGGTGTCTCTATGTCTTTCCCCTTCCTACCTGGGTAGCACCAGGGACAACCACATGTCCTGGAGCAGGCTTGCAGCAGCACCTTTGCCATGACCCCTCTATGGAAAGTGTCAATAAAACCTTCTGCAGTGTGCCTGGCCTGGCATGGTTTTTCTTCCATGACTTGCCTTTCTGTGAGTGGAGCCCATGTGTGGCTGGATGGATGTGTGTGCGTGCGTGTGCGTGCGTGTGTGTGTGTGGTGTGCATGACATCTGGACAACTGCGTGGCACCAGGATGTCCCCAAGCTCTTGCTGTTTCAGTCATGCTTAGCATCAGTGAGCATTACACACCATCTGCAACCCTGGCTTTGCTCAGCTGGGTAGAAGGGTTCCCATGCCCATGCCACAGCCCTCATCTAGGATGGGACCAAGACTCCTCCAAGCAGGAGCCCTGATACTCCCCTTTTTCTCCAAGTGGATGCAATTCAGTTGCAGAAGGCCACAGACCATGCAGCAAACTGCATACCCATGCCTCTGGTCCCAGCCTCACCAGGGTCCCAGCCTCAGAAGGGACACAGAAGTGGAAGCACTGGCTTCCCTGAGCCAGACCAAAGGAGCTTGTGGCTGTGGAGGCTACAGAGCCTAGAAAAAACAACGGAGATTCCTCCTGGTGGCACACATTGTACAGTGGAAAAGGAGGTCATCTCTACTGAACGTCCTGTGCTTCACCTCAGTGAGGCATCAGCATAAAGAAGGACTGGAAATGCTTTTACCACAGGGTGAAATCATTTCCCATCCACAACATTTATGAGGCCCTGGCGGACAGATTCAAGGTGATGGATGCTGAGAACCTTGGCATCCTCTGGGCCTGCTGGTACCTCCCAGCAGAGCTGTATGGAGAAGCTTGAGGGATGCTAGCTAAGGGCATGCACATTTCTACAGTCCTGAGGGGTAACCCCAAACTTGTCTGGAGCTCGCAGCAGCATCACCCATAGCAAACACACCTGAGGACCCAGGGACCATGCAGGGCAGAGCAGACATCCCCCTGTACATCTGAGGGGCCTCAGAGTGCTGTTTGGGGATGGCATGTTCTGCTGAGCTGACAAACTGCATTTGTGGTGGATATGAAAGTGCTACTGAAGAAAGGGTAGGAGCTAAAGATAAAAAAGGGATGTGACCCAGATCATTTCACAACAGTTCTTGCAACAAACTTCTGCTTCCCCCCATGGTCATTTCCAAGCAGGACACTGGTGTGTCCTGCTCCATCTCCCAGTCCGTGCAACGAGACATTCAAGGTAAGAGCAAGACATCGGTAAGGCTGAGCCCCAGCTCTCCCTTGCAAGCAGGAGCAGGCAGGGTACTCGGCAGCACCAGGGTGACAGTCACCTCCTGCATTACTGGCACTTTGCTGCAGCTGAAGAGAAAGGGGGCTGCTGGGCTGGGGGTAGTGGAGATCCCTGGTGGGACCCCAACCCCTCCTGCTCCACCTGGGGGAGGGGGTAGATGGAAAGGAGAGATGACAAAGATCCAGAGGGGTGATCAGGGACTGAGCATTAGTCTGAAAGTTGTCCTGGAGGTGCCCTCCTGCCCTGAGATGCTTTGGTCATCTGCCTGGGCCTGGGCTGGGAGCCCGTGGATTGGTTCTTGTACCTGCTGCATCTGAATCAGAGCTGGAAGATCCAACTCACCAGCCTCTTTTCCCCTTGACACCAGAGTTTTAGTGCTGGGGAAGTCCACCTGAGGCTAGAGAGTGATGTGATGTCCAAATACAGCCCCCAAATGCCCAGTGCTTACCCCTCACACATCTGCACTGGGAGTTGGGGGAAGGAGCTGAGCTGTGGAATGCAGGGAGGGCAGAAGGAAAATGGGACCCTGTGGCTGGAAGCCCAGATGACTGTCCCAGTAAAGCTGGTTAGATACAGGAATGGGATGAAGTAGGCATGTGTCAGAACACAAGGGGAACCCATAGGGGTTAGGAGGGCAGGGTTAGGGATTTATTTGCAAGGACTAAAGCTGCTCATCAGATATGCTGGTGGAAAGCAAGAGCTATCTCTTGCAGGTGATGAAACTGCTCTGGCCTGGGGAAGGATTTTACCCTACAGTTGTGGTCCTAAGATGGGATGGAGAATTTGTCCTCTGAGGGAGCAGTGGGGACTCAGAGCAGTAGGGACCTGCAGCACATGCCACATGACATCAGACCTCTGGGACAGGCTAACCTGTCCCCAGATATTCCTGTGGCTGAAGCTCTGGGTACTTGGAAACTGGTAATTTAAGAGTGGGAAGAGCCTGAGAAGCCCTTCCATGTGCAAAGGAGCTGATCCCTCTGAGGCCATCAGCTGAGCAGATTTGACTTTGCAGCAGGATGTTTTCCTTCCCTGATGGTAGTACCCAGAAGTGCTTCTAGTCGTCATCCTTCAGAGCAGCACAGAGTGCCTTCCCCATCCTTCCCACTGCCCAAGGCAAGTCCCTCGAGATCCTTCTGTGCTCCAGCAGATGCAGACTGTGTGGGCAATGCTGATCTGGCTGGCTGGAGGGCAGCTTGCAAGTGCCACATTCTGCAAGACCTATGGCAACATCCCAGGCATCCCAGGGTCACCAGGACAGCCCGGTAGCAACGGCAGAGATGGGGAGAATGGCCAAAAGGGCCAGCAAGGTAAGGAGGTTGAAGGTGGGAAAAACATTGTCTTGTGAACACTGAGAGCAGGAAAACTGTAGAATCATAGAATAGTTTGAGTTTGAAGGGACCTTTAAACATCATCTAGTCCACCCCCCCCTGCAGTGAGCAGAAACATCTTCAACCAGATCAGGTTGCTTGGAGCCCCATCCAACCTGATCTTGAATGTTTCCAAGGATGGGGCATCTACCACCTCTCTGGGCAACCTGGGCCAGTGTTTTGTCACCTTCTTTGTAAAAAAATGTATTCTTTATATTTAGTCTAAATCTCCCTCTTTTAGTTTAAAACCATCACTACAGAATTTGCTAAAACGTCTGTCCCCATCTTTCTTATAGGTCCCCTTTAAGTACTAAAAGGCCACAATAAGTTCTCCCCAGAGCCTTCTCTTCTCCAGGCTGAACAGCCCCAACTCTCTCAGCCTGTCCTCACAGCAGAGCTGCTCCAGCCCTCGCATCACCCTCGTGGCCTCCTCTGCACTGGCTCCAGTAGCTCCATGTCCTTGTGCTGTTGGTGGCCCCAGCACTGGAGGCAGCACTGCAGGTGGGGTGTCAGGAGAGTGGAGCAGAGGGGCAGAATCCCCCCCCTCGACCTGCTGCCCACCCTGCTCTGGGTGCAGCCCAGGACACGGATATTGGACTTTGTGCTGTGAGTGCACGTTGCCGGCTCATCTCCAGCTTTTCATCCACCAGCACCCCAGGTCCTCAGCAGGGTTGCTCTCAATGCCTTCTTCTCCCAGCCTATAATGATACCAGGGGTTGCCCCGACCACAATGCAGGACTAGGCAGTGCCAGGTGCATGGTCCTGGGAAAGCAATCCATTTTCCACCAGTCCCTTTGGGGTGTTATCAGATGGGGGTGATGCTTGGGGACAGAGGGGGCTGGACAGACCAGAGCATCCTGAGGAACCTGGGGAGGGAGGGTGCATGAGAGCAAGGGATGTCACGCCTGCCAGATGGGCAGGGGTCTCTGCTAACCCACATCCCAGAACAAGTACTGGTCCTTTCCTTCCCAGTGCCCCCTCTGCAGACCCGTGGGACTCAGCTGTGACTGCAATGACTCCTCCTCCTGTTTTGTAGGTCCCCCTGGCCAAGTGGAGCACGAAGAAGACATGGGGGAGAAGGGAGACCCAGGAGCACCAGGGTACCCTGGGAAGGTCGGCCCCAGGGGCATCCCAGGTTCAAAGGGATTACCAGGTCCCATGGGAGCCCCAGGCCCTCAGGGGGACACTGGTGACTACAAGGCCACCTTCAAGTCTGCCTTCTCTGCTGCCAGGACCATCAGCTCCTACCCACGTCGGGATCAGCCCATCCGCTTTGACCGCATCATCACCAATGAGAAAGGCCACTATGAGAACCGGTATGGTCGCTTCATCTGTCGGGTCCCAGGCATCTACTACTTCACCTACCATGTCACCTCCAGGGGCAACCTGTGCCTCAATGTGAAAAAGGGCAGGGGTGGCAGCAGGGGTGAGAAGGTGGTGACCTTCTGTGACTACGTGCACAGCAGCTACCAGGTCACCACAGGTGGTGTGGTTCTCCAGATGGCAGCGAACGAGTCCGTCTGGCTGGAGCCAACAGAGAAGAACTCCCTGGTGGGGATTGAAGGGTCTGACAGCGTCTTCTCTGGCTTCCTGATCTTCCCTGATGCTTAGACAGCCAACAGTATCCCTCTGCAGTCCTTCCCCTGCTGCTGGCTGGCCACTCAAGGGCTGAAGACTTCCCTCAAAATGACTCTTTGTCTCATATTTAGTGCCCTAAACCCGTTGCTGGTGGTCTTGCACATTAAATGACAGCTCCTTGTGCTTCTGGTTCCTTCCTTACTCAGATTTGCCTCTTTCCCCCCAGATAACGCTCAGGTACCCGGGGCATACCCCTGGGCTCAGTAGTATCTCAATACTGATGAGCAGAGGCCAGACAACTCTTGCAGTTCCTGCTGCAGCCCATGCTGAGTATCTCATTCCAGAGCCACCCAGAGAAAGCCTTAGCCCAGGGTTAGGAAAACATGGAGAGGAAGCCTGGACTTTAGTGGGGGATG